CGTCACTCCAGATGATATTGGATGGCGTAGCTGCGCGCCCGTATCCGTATCGTGCTCTACACTCGGCCCTGGAGCCACGTCCCACGGGCAAACGTCGTCCATAGGGCGAGCCATCGATGTTTCCGATGTGCCAGCATCCCTGACAACACCAACTTTATTATACGATTTAATTTTTACATTTCTCTCCTCGGGTTCGAGTCTCATCCGCTTTTTAAGATTCTTTTTCGTACCGCGCCACGTTTCGATAGATCATGCAATAAAATAATCTCTAATAATACTTTTCAACGTGTCGAAAGAATACGTGTGAAAAAAAGTTCATCTCGACACTTTCGCCCGATCTTTTCCCATAATTTTTTTAACAAATTTTTACGCATTTTCCATTTATTTTTTTACATCGTTTCAAACGAACAAAGATACCGCTTTTTTTTTTTCTTTTTTCTCGTTACTAAGCCGATAACGAGAGAAGCGAAAATAATTAATAATCGTAATTTGAGAGAGAAAAAATGAAGCGATTCGCTCGATCCGATTAAGGTGGATTTAAAATAATATAATATAATTGATTCAGAATTATTTTACATCGCGAACGAGATTAAATTGAAACATTAAAAATCCAAGCTATTGCCTTGCACATACATACATACGTATATATATATTTACATACATGTATTACATATGTATCGATCGTTTGGATCTAAATTGTGACATAAAAAGTGACAAGTTTTCGACAAAGTTTTCGATAATAACGAAACGATGATAATTGTACGAAATATTTCGAAATATTACAATATACATATATATATACCAATATAATCTGCTGCGAATATGAATAATACCGAATATGAAATTAAGATGTATTATTTCGATTAAATCTTTTTAATCGACCAGAGATATCGTTCATTATCATGAAAATGTGATTGAAATCATATCGAAATATCTCGTAACTGCTTAAAAAAATTCGATCATGTTTGGTGCATTTCCATATAATGGAAAGTATATATATATTTGGTATACGACAAGGATAAATTAAATTGGGAAATGGATATATACGTGTGTAAGTAGATAAATAACGTGGTGATGGTGTATCGCAATAACGATAAAGCGAAAAAAGTAGAAAAGAGAAGGACGAAAGTTAAAACTATATATATACAAAAGACGTTATAATATCTCGAGATCCAAGTACAGTTGAAATGCTCGATAAACAGAGAAGAAATTTTAGGAATAAAATATAGATATAAACATTATCGTTCGTACGCTTTGTATACATACATCGAGAATAATTATATAAAACATCGAGAATCTTTGCATACATAAAACAGTGCTCGACATTTTGGAAAGATACATCGAATAAATAAATAGGATTTGTTAAAAACTGAAACGAGTCGAGAGATTCGAGTATTCGCATACTTATGCAAGGAATAATTATCAGGAAGTTATTTCGACGACTTACTGAACGTTATGCGGGATAGGCCTTGTTGGAATCTTTACGAGTCGAGCCAGATCTCCCCTGAAAATACCGCACTGATATCTTTTTTCTTTTTTTTTTTCATTCTTTTAAAACACGAATTCATTATATTCGTATCATTGACATTGTTACATCTTTACGGAAACGATTCTTTAAATTTTTCAATTTTAATGAAATCGATACCGAGGCAAATACAACAAACAGTTTCAAAGATGAAATAAAAATATCATGTTTGTGTACATCTACAACGCATAGAAAATCCATTTCCTTAAAAAAAAAAAAAGCCTATGTAATCTTCGATAAACTTAATTAATTATTAAATATTCGCTTTTTTTTCATACTTTCCTTTCTTCTTCTTTCTTTAAACTTATAAAAATTATACGTGTTGTTTATTTGTTGGAAGAAAAGAAAGTGAAAGATAAAGATTCTATAATTCGACTTAACAGTGATTAATAGTAAATTTCGTGAAACAATCTCGATGAGTATCATTGATAATGAAAGCGATCGTTTACCTATATGGAATATCGGTGAGATTCGACTGACTGTGAGAATGCGGTACTCTAGGCATCGAACTTGCATCTCGAATACCACAAATGGCTAACTCGTGAGCAGATCCGGAAAGACTTCGATCGCTTCCCCTTCGTTTACTACCACCTCCACCCCCTCCTCCCCCGCCGGCGGTTACAGCATGGTGTTGCAACGTGCTCGTTGTCGGAGTTGGGGCCGAAATCGAAGTCGAAGTCGAGGAAACTTTCTTTTTCGCTTGTCCCCCGAAAAAAAACCTATACAATTGTACATTATACGTAAGATCAAGTATTTGAAAAAATGAGGGGAGTGATAAAGCTGTTGGGAGATACGTACCATTTTTTTTGCGAAGGTTGCACGCCAGAGGCTAATAAATTTCGATACTGATCGGAACGAATAAATCTAGGATAACAATCCTTTTTCAAAAGCAACGTATATACGTGTTCAGCGGCGGAATCGAACGTGAATCGATTTGGATTTTTCATCTCTTGATGAACTTTTTCCATAGTCTTCCCATCTATGTTTATCTCGCAAGGTGCTCCGGGTGCTAAGAATTCTCTGGAAAGAGAAAAAAAATTTCATTGATTATATACGATTTACGGATCAAAAAAGAAAAAAAAAAAAAAAAAAGAAACAATGGCATACCTGAAGATTTCGTTAACTTTGTCGGGTATTTTTGCTTGAAAACTATGCCTCAAATCTTTAACCGCTAACCAAAATCGTATATTTTCATGACTGTATTCTTTTCTCAAATACTGCGTAAACTCTTGCAAACCTGGAACGAAACGAAACGAGACGAGACGAGATGAAATGCACGCGCGTGAAAAAAAAATTTATTTATTATTCGTAACATCAAACAAATCCCTTTTTCCCTTCTCTTTTTTCAACTTTCATTTTCTATTTTCCTTATTTCTTTATCGATCAATTATCCTTTCACTTTCGCTCGTATTAAAATTAAAAATATTCTTCAGGGAAAAAAAAAATAAAAATAAAAAAGGGATAAAATAATCTAAAATGGGAAATGGATCTTAATAAGAGAGAGAGAGAAAAAAAATAATAAACCAACGTATAGAAGGATATAAATAATGGCTATCTAAGTAGATAACACATGTGAAAGAAATATCTCAAATAACGATAAGAATTTTATTTCATATATCTATGATATAATGAAATGGAAAAAACTTACCAGTAGGATCGGACATTAACTCTTCCATGGATAATGCCCACCGCTTAACACGTTTTTCCGTAGGAATTTCCACTCTGTGCACGGTAATTGAATGAAATTAAAGAAATTTTTTATTACAATATTTCTGTGTATATTTCATATATACATATGCATATTTTTGTGAAAAATTTACGTTACATGCGGTCGAGATACTAACAGAGGACTGTTTAGCTGCCAAAATGTTTGATCGTCGGTAATCCATGGATTGGAAGGTTGTGGCTGTACAAACATTGGATCGTATTCCACGTATGTTTCGAAGTATGAGTTGAAATTTTCGATAGCAGCAGAAACTTTTATTCTTGTACGCGTTAAGCTGTTCTTCAAAAGGGCCACCTAATAATATTTAAAAACGAGTCGTAACGTTGTCGAAATATATTACTACCTACAACATGTATATATGTTTCGAGCATAATAATCTACTACGCTGCAAGACGTTTCGTTATTCGTTGTAAAATTCGTTGGCCGAAAAAACTGCAAAACTCGATTCATCTTTGCCAACGGTCGTGAAAAATGACGAAACATCGAAAAGAAGAATCGAGAGTTTGAAAAAATTTGCCATCTATAATTTCAGCGTGATATCTCTCGCTTCGATCAAGCAATATATAACCGCGTCCCTTTATTATGTGTTTTAAAAATACATGTATATACGTAACGTCGGTAAAAGCGAAAAAAAACTTCAACACGTTCGAAACATTTTAGGATAAGAAGCTCGAGAGCTTTGGAACTATATTCTTTCTTTTAAATATATATATATATATACGTATAGGTATATATGTAGTTAAAATCGATGATAAAAAATTTTGTACAATTCTAAATACGATTAAATCCAATTCGTGCGCATAAACGTAATCGTTTAACGTTTCAATTTACAACTATCGTTATATCGCTTTTACCGATTCCATTTTTA